CTGGAAGGGAAGGTTAAAGTGGTAGATTCAAGGGGGATGTGCTCAATGCTGAAATCAGAGATCCTAGGTCACCCTAACCTTTCAGGATGTGTGGAAATCAGCGACATGAAAATGTGGACTATTGAGTATAGGCAATCAGGAATATTTTGAATGCTAATGAACTCATTGTTTTAAAAAAGAAGAGTTTCCAGTGGCTCGTCCAACCTAGCACCTTGATTCAAAGGGACAATTGAGAGGCCAGTATGGGTGTCCTCCCATACACTGTTGTGTTCAAAGAGAGGGTCCTAGGGGCCAGACTAGCTCCATTCAGATCCCAGCTCTGCCTCTTAAAAGTGAACTGAGGCAAGGTGCTTCATGTTTTTAAGCTTCCGGGTTTTTTTCCATCTGAACAATCAGGATATGAACAGTACTTTAATAAATCATTATGAGGATTTAAAATGCACTTTAAATTTTTGGCACAGGCCTTAGCTCATCTTAGTATACAATCCAAACACCCACTGCTATGGAGTGGATTCTGATGAAAAGCAACTGCATATAGGTTGCCGAGACTGTAAATATTTATGGGAGTAGGCGGCCCCATCTTTCTCCCATAGAGCAACAGGTAGGTTTGAATCCTGACCTTATAGTTCACAGCCTGTTCCCTGACCCACAGAGCTATCGTTAAAATCCTTTCAAGTTTCCCTGGTAACAGGAAGGTAGTACTGATAGTCCCTCCCCTCTCCCCCATCATTTGATTAGGGTAGGCCTGGGCTGCCCCTCTCCTGCACACTCTCCTATCTCCCTCTTCATTTTTCTGTTTCTTTCTTTCTTCTTCTTCTTTTCTGAAGATCATTTTATTGGGGGCTCTTACAGCTCTTATAACAATCCATACATCAAATGTATTAAGCATATTTGTACATATGTTGCCATCATCATTTTCTAAACATTTTGTGTTTCAGCCCTTGGTAGCAGCTCCCCACCACCAGCCTCCCCGTGACTTGTTGATAAATTATAAATTATTTTCATATCTTTCACCCACCGCTGTTGCCCTTCCCCCGCCACTTCTGTTGTTCGGTCCCCAGGGGGAGTGGTGGTGGGATGCCTTGATTATTGCAATCGGTTCTGTTTTCTTACTTCTGAATGCTCAGAGCTATGCTTGGATCTTGAGGAATGTCAATTCAGAGCAAACTCTATTGAAAAAGAAGGCTGGTGATTTCAAGGAAAAAAAAAAAGAAGGCATGGAAGGTTTTTTATAATTGTAATCTTAACTCATTGTAGAAAGTTGAAATAAGATTATGTAAAGATGTGTGTTTATCATTCCACCCTAATTTGGGGTATAATTTCAAAATAATTTGAGCTCCCAGAGGTAAATTCATTCTAAGTGTGCAGGATTTTCTTTGCTCTTTGAGATACCCGAACAACATACAGTGAATTTCTAGTTAAAGAATGCTATGAGTGGAGGATTTTCCATTTTTTCCTGGCTCACTCCAGGTTGCCAGCCCTTTCTTTCTTAGTTTTATTTTGGCCTTGTAATTCTGGTTGTGTAATTCTAGTACCCTTCTGAACTGCTGCCGTGTGTTTACCTGTGCAGGTTGTTGGCTGTCCAGCCCTGCAGGCCAAGTCCAGCCTGCAGTCTGCTCTCCAGGCATTTGACCTACTCAGGAAGAGAAACCATTTTCTAGTTCTCACGAAAGTCCCACGAGGGTTGGTCTTGAGAAGAGACGGGCAGGAGAGCAAAAGTGGAGACTTGGACCAGCAATAGCTAAGAGTGCTTTCCTCAGGGGATGAGCGCTCAGGCAAGCCCCCAGAATCGGATTTTCTCTCGTAATAAAATCTTTAAGCTATTTTACACAGATATTGCCTTAGAGCCAAGAACTGGCAGCATCTTGTGGACTACATCTCACCCTTGGGACTACATTCTCCATAGCTCCCTGCACTTGACTTCTCAACTGACATTCTAGGAAAATGACGTGCCCTAATGGAACCCTTACAAACTTTTAGCAGACCTATACGCGCAAGGAAGCCAATAGGCTGACTGTACTGGTGGTGTCGCTTCATTCCTCCTAGCAGTGTCTAATAAAACTCTCCAGTGTTGCCTCTATGTCTAACTAGGGGAAATCTGTCTCTGTAAAAGACAAGGACCTAATTCTGGTAACAGTTATCAGGTCACATGTTTTCATCATCCCTAACAAAAGGTTATTGTTCCCTAGCTAATGACTCTTCCCACTTCCACACCAATTCCCTGGTACTATGGATAAACTTTCATCTCTGTACATTTATTTTGCCCGCCCTTGATATTATATAAAAGTGGGATTGAGGTAGTTAGTTTATTGTGCCAACCTGGCCAATAAACACATGTGGGATTAATTGGGTGGAAAGACAAATGACTCTACGAGCCTCGCCTTTCTTGTCTCTTGCTCTTTGATCATTGGACCAGTGTGCGGCTGCCTTGCTTGTTCTGTGCCTCAATTTGAAAGCTACACTACCTGTGGGACTCCTAACCCGTGGACTGTGTCACTGTAATTTGAGGTTCCTTCAAGACCTGCTTCGCCACAGAATTGGAATTTACATTTCTTGAGCTGGGGACTCTCAGACCCTGTCATCTGGCTGACTGCTGGCGACCTGCCTTGCTATTTGCTGCCTGTGCCCAGATAGCCTGAATTGCTCTACAGAGAACTACCCGGCGGCCCTCAAGACTTGAAGAACTGCCAGTGTCTCACAACTGTCTCACGGGAGTGAGTCGCACTGAGCCATTTGTACTGCTTTATAATTTAATTAACTGGTTATTTCTTGTTATATATCTATCTGTATAAATATATATAAAAATATTAGCAATCTGGTTGTCTCTCTAGAGAACCTTGTCTAACACAGGGATTGTACAATATTTGTTCTTTTGCTTCTGACTTATTTCACTAACCATATATATGTTTAAGTTCATCCCTCATTAATGTGTTTTTAAAATGATAGATTGTCTTTTTTCTTATCCCTGAAAGGATGCATTTTTAGTCCTGGATCCTGGAAATGATATGAGCAGAAACCTTCTATTCACACTTTAAAATATTGATGAATCAAACCATAATTAAACAACTAGAAAATATTTTAAAAATAATGTTTAATGAACATGTATTTATAAAAGCAGTCACTCATTAACATGAGAGAAATATACACAATTAAAAGATTTAGGAACCTAATACCTATTTTCTTGGAATATGAGAAACATACTAACAGTAAATAAGTTTAGTCTGACTTTTCAATGTAAAACATTTTAGATTTGATAAAAGGAATTTGCTGAAAGCATCCTATTCCCACCTGCGCCAAACTCATTCTTTCTCCCTTTAAATAAACTGTAGGAGTCAGCTGTGTTGAAGTGGTCAAATGGGTTTGATGGCCTTGGGCAAAGGGCGGTGTCTTAGGGGAGGTGAAGGACATTCACCGGCTCCACTCCTCTGAGGGTTTTTGGACTCCTGACAGTCAAACCTGGCAATGCAATGGCCATGCCAAACCGCTTGGGGCGCCCTTTCACTTTGGACTTGATAACTCACGGTAATTGAGTCAATTCCATCTCGTTGCAACCCTACAGGTCAAAGTAGAACAGCCAGTGTGGGTTCTGAGGCTGTCAGCCTTTATGGGAGTAGTAAGTAAGCCCCTTCTTTCTCCAGAGAAGCCACTGGTGGTTTCAAAGGCCGACATTGTGATTGGCAGCTGAGACAGTTTATTGTGCCAGCCTGGCTGATAAACGCAGGTGGGATTGACTGAGGGGCGGAGAGATGGATGGCTTGGTGAGCCTTGCCTTTCTTGTCTCTCGCTCTGTGATCATCGGACCAGTGTGCGGCTGCCTTGCTTGTTCTGTGCTTCAATTTAAAGGCTACAGAGCCTGTGGGACGCCTAGCCTGTGGACTGTGTTGCTGTAAGTTGAGGTCCCTTTAAGACTTCTCTGGAGCTGGGAACTGGCAATTGGTGACCTGCCTTGTGATTGGCTGCTGTGCTGACATAACCTAGCTCTCTCTACAAATACAGGAAGATCTGGCATCAGAGAGAGACTGGAAGGACTGCTAGTCTCTCAACTTTCTCTCACGGACGTGAGTTGCACTAAGCCGTTTATAGTGCTTCTAATTTAACTGTTTATTTATTGTATATTTATCTGTATATGATTTAACATTTCATTTCTCGTTATATATCTAATTATCTTTATGATTTAACATTTCATTTTTTGTTACATATTAATTACCTTTATAAATAAATATATTATATTATCAAGAATTTGGTTTTATCTCTCTAGAGAACCCTGTCTAACACAGCAGCCCAACGCGGAACTCACGATGCCACAAGGGCTCCGAGGGCTCCTCGCTGGGCAGCTTTTACTGAACCCGCACTTAACGCATTTCGAAAATGTGTACTAAAATATGCTCTAAAATGTTCATTGTTTCAGCAAATATGAATACATCTGTATGTTTAACTAGGAAATAACGAAGAAATGTCCATTTAATGCAATATTATGCCACCACTACAGATATGTAATATCAAATAAGCAGGAGAATGAAACTTCTAATATGTTAAGTTAAAACAATATTATAAAAATTGTAAAAAATTTGAAATATAAAATTGAATATATGGTATGAAAATAATTATTATTAGAAAGTTTTATAGGAAAATCTGGGATTAGTACTGATATATTGATATATATTTACATGTAGCACATTTTATTTAATGCTATGTGTCATGTGATTAAAAAAAGGCTTTTATAGAGTAGGCAGAAAAGTATCAACTTAATGCTGTTGTTTTCTTGGCATGTGGGAAGTGGCACATAAAGCTCTCTGCTTAGGCTCAGAAGGCTAGACCTGCTCTAGGTCATCTTAGATCCCTAGCTTCTTCACCACAGAAAAACAGTGAAAATCATTGTTTCACCCTTAGCTTTCCATAATTCTCTCTCATGTATGTATCTGTAAGCTTTATCCCATCAGATTACTCATCTTATTTAACTTTCAAATTGTAAGAAACATGACAAATTACAGAAACAACTCTTTTAAATATTAGAAATTCATCCAATGGATGGTTATTATTAAACAACATTTGGAATACAGATTAGTCATATGTCAGATTAATCATGCTGAAGCAAACACCTAACCACTACCAAGCTTAAGGTAGTACCAGCTGACAGTATTTATTTAGTTTGCCTTTGGGTGGCTTAAACATTTTTGTGCAAGATAAACAACTTGTACATATTAACTTAACATACATTCTGAGTTATTTAAACTTTTTGTGCAAGAACTTCTATCAACTCATCATCCTGATGCACATTAAAACATGTCCATGTGCACCCCTCCATTTTTCTTCTCCTTTCCAACACCGTTTCTGGTAGAGGACGGGTATTATGCCAGTTTTATACATTTGCACACTTTCTCTCCATCAATTGTGATTTTTTTGTTGTGTTATAAAATAAAAGTTGTGCAGAGTACATATCCGTATTGTCAAAGCGAAAAATGAAGGAGTTCATTTAACTACAGAATTTATTATGGCAGTATTTATGATCATCTTTATCTATGCCCTCCCCCCAAACAAGTAAATAAATCTCATTTCTTGTACTGCATTTGCCTCTCTTCAAATATACAGAATAAAGCTTTGGTCAGTGGTCAATTTCTTACTGTTTTGTCTTTCACTTCTCTCAGTTCTGAAGCTAGAGGAGGAAATTATAGGTAATACCCCTGTAGGTTGCAAGACATTAGGTCATATAGATTACACAGCAAAGAAGCCTCTTAGTGTAAAACTACAAAGGTAATTTCAACCTTGGCTCTACGCTTCTGAGAAAAGAAGAGGCAGGCTACTGCACTGATTCATCCAAAGCTAACCTGAAAGGAGAAAAAACCCAGTGTTCTCTTCTCATCTGCAGATGACTCAAATCAAGACAAAGCTTCCCCCTCTGGTCACAAATGTCCAGTATGGGGGTAGATGAAGGCTCCTTGTTTGTACCCATTCATCTTCTCTCAAAGTTCAAAGCAGTAGTTCAGAGATGGGGAGAAATTGAAATTTGCATTAAATATCTGTTTTTCTGTTCAATGCTGAAGCTGATTTGGAGCTTCTTTCCCATCCCTGGCGGATCCGAGTAAGAGCCTTGTCGATGCATGGTATGATGAGGATGAACTTGATCACTAACAGGGTGCAAGGAATGATGAGGGCTAGCACATGGGCTGGAGGAAGATACCACTTGTAGCTGGAAGGGCTGAGGAATCTCTGTCCCCCATACACCAGTGCGTGAGCTGTGCACAAGATGAGGGTCAAATAGCCCAGTTTGGACTAGAAAGAAACAAACAACCAATGTAAGGACGCTACTTATCTTCATAGTGAAAACCTTGTAAGATATTTGTCAGCAACCACAAATAGGTGAGGCTTGTAACATTTAGGATACTGAGAACTTAAGAACTCAATGCCATTGACTCCATTCTGCTCCTATAGGACATAGAACCACCTCTAGGTTTCTGAGGCTGTGAATGTTTATAGGAGTAGAAAGCCTCATCTGTCTCCCATGGAGCAGCTGAAGGATGCATTCACCCTCCTTCAGGTTGATACTGCATTCAAAGGAAAATAGATTGTTGCTCAAAAAATACATGGTAACCTCACTAGATGTGTTTCCCAGGAGTGACTCTTTTGGGCTAGAATATGTGGCCAAAAGGTATTTTCTGGAGGATAGTGATGATTAAGTCCCACCATGTCCTCAAGAAACATCTTATTAGTATGCTACTGACTGAAAGCAGATGCTAACTAATTTCTATGGCAATTAAAGGAAAATTAAGCAAACTTCACTTTTCTTCTTTATTTCCTGCTTTCTAAATGTCAATGTTTCCCTTCTGTCTGTGTACCTTGAATATAAGTAAAACCTCAGAAAATAGTGACAGTGTTTGTCCCCCACTCCACCCTGGGAGAAATGGCAAGACAAAATTGCAGTAGTTCTATAAAATGCAAACAATTCTGATTACTAATGGTTTCTTCTGTTTTACTAGTTTGCATTAAATGCACACCAGAATCACCTGGGGGACACATTACAGCAGACTGCTCAGCCTCACCTCTGAGTTTCGGGTTCAGTGGGCTGGGGTGGGGGGTTAAGATTTTGAGTAACTCTAAGTTCCCAGGTGCTATTGCTGCTGGTGGCCCAGAGACCAGTCTTTCAGAATCATTGGCCTACATGAATTGTTACTAACCACCTTTAATGAAATGTCGGGTGGTTGGTATGTTGGGGGAACATTTTTTATTTTTTCTCTTACAGATTTAATATGGCATGATGATAAACCAGTGATTATCAATCTCCCTTATACTGCAACCCTTTAATATAGTTCCTCATGTGGTGGTGACCCCCCAACCATAAGATTATTTTTGTTGCTACATTATAACTGTCATTTTGCTACTGTTATGAGTCCTCATGTAAATATCTGATATGCAGGAGGTATTTTCATTGTTACAAATTGAATAAAATTAAAGCATAGTGATTCATCACAAAACAATATGTAATTATATACTGTGAAGTATTTATTTCTAATGACTAATAGATGAAAGTTTGTCTTGAAGCATGGTGCAGCACGACTAACAGTCTTCACGCTGGGTACTCGTAGGGGGGGTATCTGCGTGTAGGCGGACCCTCCTGGAGACGGACAGAGGAGCAGTGGGTGTCTCGGTTCCTAAGACCATCAGAAATAGGTGTTTTCCGATGGGTCTTAGGCGACCCCTGTGAAAGGTCGTTTGACCTCCACTATGATAAACTATGCATGAAGATTTTAGACCTTATTTCAATAATATATGTCCACATTTTATGTACATCCCTATAAAAAAGGTTTATTTTCAGGAGTAGAAATTTTTGTCTTTGGGTTTCAACTTACCTTGTATACAGTACAACTTCCATAAAAAATTTGACAGTTTTTAATGCTTTTCAGCTTAGCATGTTAGCTGTGGCTTTGAGAGCAGACAGAAATCTTGGCCCGGGATGTCTTGCTAGGACATCACATCATTAGGGAACCTACGCCTTTTTAGCCATGTTTATTATTTTCTTATTTGGGGTTGTTTCGGTTGCTTCGTAAAAATGAGACTGGTGTAGCAGTTATGAGTTGAGCAGCTAACCACAAGTTCAGCAGTTTGAAACCACTGGCTGTTCAGTGGGAGGAGGACAAGGCTTTCTATCCCCATGAAGCGCTATGCAGTCTCAGTCTCAGAAATCCACAGGGGCAGGTCGACTCTATCTTGGAATCAACTCGATGGCACGGAGTTTGGTTTGGGGATTGGAGGGAAGTCATGGAGCAAAATGAAAAATTAGGCATGACATAAGAAGAAAATGAGTGCACTCCCAGTCTCAAAGTGATGGCTGAGATCCGTTTGGAACGGCCTCTGGAAGTCTAACTTGGAGGTAAGCTGGAACTAGGTGTAAAGGATTCTTACTTCGCCTAGAACAAGAAAAGGCCTGAAGCTTCTTCAATTATTTAAAAGCAGCATGCTCAGCATGTGAAGGTGGTTGTGAAGAATTTGGGGGGGGGGCGTGTTTCACTCGTTTCAAAATAAGAGGCAAATTTATCTGGCCTTCAAGGGCAAGTAGGAGTTGTATGTGAGCCAGACATTCATAACCAGGGGGCTTGTGTTTACACTGTTTGTAAAGTCACATTCATTTTGCCAAAACAAACAAGCAAGCAGATCAAATCCTTGATAACCTTACCTGCACAAATCGGAATTCTCGCCAGTTGACTGTGTTGCTAACAGATGGTAAGGAAGTGATTCCCAGGAGCACAAACAGAAAAAATCCCAGGATTCCCAAGGCCACATATGAATCACTACGCCAGGCTGTAGAGGTGCTGAATGGGCTGTCTTTATTGGTCATTGCCTAAGGAAAATGACAAGCCATTTAAAAAACACATTTTTTACAAACTGCCCATCCTTGCCAAGGGATGGAAAAGAACTCGGCACAGTTGCTTGGCTTACGGCAAAATGCAGAGCATTTCTCAATAATAATAAGGTAAAAATAATTGAAGATAACAATGTGTTTAGATGTTATGTTTTTGGTAGAAAATGTAATCGGTTCTGTTGAGATTTTGCGCTTAAAGTTTTAATTTACTTTATAAATCCTAAAGCAATGTATTTAAACATTAACTTTATTTATTTTTACCATATGGCTCTTTGTTCCTGAGCAACACTTAATGTCTCAATTGGTTATATCAGAATCCTGTTTTGTGCTTTTTATGCCAACTCTCCACACATGCAAACTTCGGGTTCTCTCATGTTTAAGATGCCTTAACTCACTCACTGCCATCAATCGATGAAAGCTCACAGTGACCGTATAGGATGGGGCAGAACGGCCCCTGTGAATTTTTAGGCTGTAACTGTTTATGGGAATATAGCATAACATCGAATCTGTGGCATCCCAGGTTGAGAAGTATCAAGCCCCTGTTGTGTGACTCTTATTCAAAAATTCCCCATGTAATGTAATGGTTAGGATAATAACATAGAGAAACCCATAGAAGTACCATCAGTGAAATACTAGCCAATAATCGCTAAGACTGAGGCGAGGCACGCCCAAACCAATCCTTACTGCACTGACGTACAGCACAGTCACTGGCTAGTTTTCGCGGAATGTCTTGGCTATGTAGAGATACTGCCTGACATTTCCCTAGGATTTATTTCTAGTTAGTGAAGACAACCGCCCACAAGTTGAACATGAATGTACATTTTCAAGGGAAGTGATGGCTTCAGAAGCACCTTTTGGGGAACTTGGTTATTTTTAATGGCACATGTGTGAACAGTTCCTTTACTAACAAGATAGTTGGTTTTGACATCCAAAGGGAAGTGGCATGCATAAAAGTAGAAACACTGCTCTACTTTCATTGTAACCCAGCTGAATTCCAGGTATCACTGCATAGCCTGACGTCTCAAATTCATTAATCCTGCAGTGTCCTAGCCAGTCCTGAGGACACAGACCTGGTGAAGGGTGAACATGGGGTGTCTAACTTTCACAGTTAGATTCAACTCAATGGTTACACGAGACCTTAACTGGATTCATCAAAGAAACAGTCTCAGAATTACTTTCTAGAATCATGAAATAGGACATGTATGGAGATATTGCAAGATTCTTCCCTATTTTAAGGAAAATGAGAATAAAACTGAGTGGTGATTTACCTGGGTCAGGGTCATGTTTTTCAACCTCCATCGTACAAAATAGCGGATGGGAATCACAAGGGTGTAGAGGACATGAAGGAAGGCAAAGCCCAATGCGACTAAGCCAAGCTGCTTCCTGCAGAGCATCCAGTGATCAAGCCAGGCTGGGAATCGGCGGTATTTTGTGCCTCGATAGAGCTGCAGAATGGCAGCCAACACACCGGGGAGGTAAACCAAGGCGAGCAGGATAAGTGCCACTGATGGAAAGACCCGGTTTGGAATGGAGATGGCCAGGCGAAACGTTTCATTTTTCTTCCCATAAACATATGGGTAGATTACATCTCTAATTACACAATAGAAAAATACAAAGATACACAGCGCAGCAGACAGATAAAGTGGGAACCTCCACATTGGAAATAGTTGCAAGGGGTAGTTTTCAATTTCTTTGGCTGCCGTGAGCGATCCTTGATCCAGTGGGGTAAGTCCAAGAGTACGAACAATATTCATCACTCTTTGCTTAGCTTTGCTGTCATTTCCACAGACAAATACCTGTATGAAAGAGAATTGACTGTGTTTATCATTAGCTTCGTTAATAATGATTTTATAAGCACTGTGCAAAAACAACAGCACGCCCTCTGCTTTTCAAACAAGCTTAGTATACCAAACATACTTAACAAAAGGACATTCAAAATGCGCATCTGTCTGTTGCATTGCCAGGTACCAGATTTGTAAATCGAGGATCAAACTCCAAACCAAACTCACTGCCATTGAGTTGATGGCAACCCATAGTGATCCTATAGGATCGGTTAGAACTGCCCCTGTGAATTTCAGAGACTGGAAATCTTTGAGGGAGTAGCACACTGGAGCCTTTCCCCACCCCTGCAGATCGGTTGGTGGTTTCAAACTGCTGACCTTGTGGCTCACAGCGTAGTGCAAAACCACCACACCACAGGGGCTCCTAGAGGAGGGAAGTTTTAAACATATCACCTTGATATAATGACTTGGGTTTCTATAGTGTGAATAGTTTGCTCTCTCCTTTGTGTTTGTGAGTGCCACATAATTTATGGATCGTTTCTAATTTCAGCAACTAAAGGAATCACATAGAAGGTAGAGGAGATGGGGAAAAACATCCACCAACGAATTAGCTGTGCTGGTTTCTAGCACTGACAAGAGGCCACCCTGTTGGATTCCATGGGGCTAAAAGCCCAGAGTGTAGACAGTGTGCTAACCCCAGCAACAACTGACTGCCTTACCTGGTCAAATAAAAGCAAATTATTCCTGGCACATGTTGGCAGAATGCGCGGTTTAGAGGTATTTAATTTTGGAATTGTATTTTGTCATTCCTGAGGCAAGTGCATATTAAAAGACTAACGTTTTAAAGATTGAGATTTGTAGTCATTCATTACTTGGTCTTACCTGCCGGCTTGCATCCAGGGCTCCTGACTGGAGGGCCCAGGCTGAGATGGTGTTAAATGCTTTCACCACGTGGGTTCCTGGCAGCAGCTGAGCCAGGTACTCGGCATTGGATTCTGGATACTGATTGATTTTGAGGTTGTTGCTGACATCAACCAATATTTTCCCTTTGAGGACTTTAGTTAGTTCTGTGAGAAAATAATAATGTTCCCTATGGATTGCTACAATTATGATGTCAGATTTTTGGGCGGCTTCGGAATAGCTCAGGACCTCAGCACCACTGGGTAGCAGGCTGGACATCTGGGGACTCCGGCTTCCAAAAACAACAGAATAGCCGCACTGGTGCATTTTAAACCCCAATGATCTTCCCAAATCTCCAGTTCCAAAAACACACACGGTCTCTTCCTTTTCTGAAGAATTCATAGTAAGAGGAAATTCATCTGTGCATGTGTTCTCCATAACTGAAAATAATATAAATAACCAACAAAATATGAAAAAAGTGAGAATTTCCAGGAAACACTGTAATTAGCATGTTATCTCTGCAGTGGCTTTATTTATTTCAGCAGTTTTATTGTCACATAATTCACATATCATGTAATTCAGTAGGTCAATCACGTCTACATTCTTATCAGCTCCCCATTTCCACCCAACATCCCCTGCCATATCTCCAACCCAATCCAACCAAACTCACTGCCAAGGAGTCAATGTTTACTCATAGAGTGAGTTTCTAAGACAGTAACTGTTTACAGAAGTAGAAAGCCCAGTCTTTCTCCCATGGAGCCCCTGGTGGATTTGAACTGCTGACCATGTGGATCGTAGCCCAAAGTGTAACCATTATGCCAACAAGGCTCCTTCTGCCACACCCCCAAGGGGCCACTAATCCAATTACTGTCTCTGTAGATTTACCTATACTGGATTTCATATACAGAAAAACATTAAAAAACAAACAAAAATGTAGCAAGAATAAGAAAGTAAAACTGATAGAAAACCCTCAATCAAAAAGAAAGCAGAAAATATTAAAAACTAGGACAAAATTTAAATGGATCATAAGGGAGATTACATAACAGGGTGCCAAATTTTAACCTAACTGCATCTGCAACAATCTACTCTCCAAAGCGTTCGGCATTAGCGAGGCTGTTCTCATCCCTGGTCTGTGGTCAGAGAGGATTCACCAGGGGCTTAATCCATCTGTTTTTCCCCTTCAATTTTTTTTTTTTTTACTTAAACAACTTAAACATGAGTCAAAAGGGAGATCAAATGATAAGATATTATGTTTCGACCTAACTACATCTGTCATCATTGACTTCCCAGTGCTTTCTGTCTGATTACAGGGTTATTCACCTCCCTCAGCTATGGCTGGAGAGGACTCCCTGGAGTAGGCTGAATCCATGAATGGACCCTTCAAATGGAGCTTGGACTTGCACTGCCATCCACCTCCTTCTACAAACCAGGTGTTCACAATGTACACGCGATGCCATTCCCTCCTGTAGCTTTGGATTATATTATTTACAATCTCTGGAGGTTGGTGTGCTTCTTCCATGTGGACTTACTTGATGCTTCACTTAGATGGATGCTTATTTGAAAACAAACCCTGAAGAGCCCAGCTGCTGTTTTTGCTGATAGTGGTGCACCATCTAGTTTCTTCATCACACTTTTCCCCCATTCTCCCGTGATCGCTTCATGAGGTCCAGCAAAAGCAGGGCTATGTCATAAGAACTAATTGTTCATGCATCTATGGTTTATATGTGTCTTTGGTTCGCCTTAGAGACATCGCTGTCATTTTATGTTAGAGAACATTGACAAATTGTTAACTTGATAAATCATCCCCAGCGGCAGCACTTTCCTGCATTTACTTTAATCTCTAATGAATTATTTTGAGAGTATTTCTTCTGAAATTTGTGAGGATTTACAATGATCATACCCATGCTCACATGTACTTATTTAACAAAGTCCTAGAGGAAGAGCTGCCATGACAAACCAAGACACTCAGATGCATTAAACTACAGACCCGACATTGATACTACAGTCATAAAGTAGTATCTGTGTTCAGATGCAAATGGTTCTAACCATTCTCAAAGGAAAATCTGATAAAGAATGCACGAAGAAGAAAATTATAAATTAATTAATTTATGTTATGGATGCAAAATCCTAAAGAAAGATGTGCAGACAGAACCCAGCAGTATTTTAAGAGCACAGTTTATCAACTTAGGTATAATCTATCAACGTACACCAGTTGCTTCCCAAGAGAAAGGTGTGGGAATCCACTTCTGTAAAGACTTATAGGGTTGGAAGCCATACAGGGGCAGTTCTCTGTTGTTTTTTAGGGTTTAGTTCTGCAAGTTCAATAGTATTAAATGTATTAATATGTCTTAACAAGATTTATGGAAAATTAATGAAAAATATGCATTCATCTTATTGATACTAACAGGATGTGCTAAAACTTGACATCCATTTTTGGTTCATAGTAAACCAGAAACATATCCTTAACACTTAAAATCTGAGAATACCTACCACAGCCAAAAATCCAGTCTCATTCTTTTTTCATTCTTTTTTAAATTAAAAGATCATTGTATTGGGGGCTCTTACAACTCATTACAATCCATACATCAATTGTATCAGGTATATTTGTACATTTGTTGCCATAATTCTTTTCTAGACATTTACTTTCTATTGAGCCCTTGGTATCAGCTCCTCTTTTTTCCCTCCCTCCCTGTACCCTCGTGACCCCTCGATAGATTATAAATTATTATTATTTTCATATCTCACTTTGACCGCTGTCTTCCTTCCCCCATGGTCTGTTGTTCTTCCCCCTGGAGGGGTGTGTGTGTGGTTATGTGTTTGTGTGATACAAAAAGAGTCCCCCAAATATATATGTTAGACTTAGGACACTGCTTTCAACTAATGGTAAATGATTGTCAAGTTATCTCCCTGAAGACTTGGGCCATCCAGAGCAAGCAGACACCATTGTTTCTCCCACAATAGGTAGGGCTCACTCCCTGCTGTTGGGGACAGTGGATGGCTTCCCCTGAAAGCTCAGGCTAAATAGAGTCTCCAGCTCTAGGGCAATCAAGGTTAAACCACATCAAGAATCTAGGATCCGCCCATCTTGTCACATGTATACCCTTAATCCCTCCTCTTCCTATTGTGCATATACCTCTAGATTGTCCCCTTCCCATTAATGTGTTACCTGTAGTACAACCTTTTCTTTCTTTTTTTTTTTTTAGGGGCTCATACAACTCTTATCATAATCCATACATATATCAATTGTGTAAAGCACATTTGTACATTCATTGCCCTCATCATTCTCAAAACATTTGCTTTCCACTTAAGCCCCTGGCATCAGCTCCTCATTTGTTCCCCTCCCTCCCCGCTTCCCCCTCCCTCATGAACACTTGATAATTTATAAATTATTATTTTGTCATATCTTGCACTGTCTGACGTCTCTCTTTACCCACTTTTCTAGTACAACCCTTTCCTGTCATGTATATCTTAACCTGTAACTAGGGGGCTTGCATGTCCCCAAAAGATATATAAGGCTTGGTTAGCAATAAATCTCTCTCTCTCTATCCTGCCCTGTACCACCAAGAGGAGCTGAGGTGAGCATGCTATCATGAAATATGCCTAACTCCATTATTTCAATCCCTCTCCTATCTCCTATTCTCTATGCCTTTACTATTATCTTTGCTTATTATCACTGTACAATTGCGTGAACCAGACCCATGATGATTTGTTAGGGGCTGGCTACCCTGACATGTGTTGATCATTGCAATAGGTTCCCTGTTCCTCCCCTTCTTTCCCCCCTTCCTCCTACCCTTTCAGTTTTATTCTTAATAAAGTATTATAAGAAATATTCTCCAAAAAAAAAAGAAATATTCTCAATAAAATCAGAAACTCAGAAAATATGTCAGCTTCCTTCAAGACTTCTCATGGGGGGGCAGTCTACTCTGTCCTAGGAGGACGGCTGTGAGTTGGAATGCCTCGATTCATGTGATAGCTACTGAAGCAGGGAGTTCTTGTTGTGGCTCAGCTTTTTCAGTTTTAAGAATATCTTGGCCTCTTTAAGTCATCTTTAAGCTCAGTGAGTATCAAACACATTGAGTAAAGGTCAGCTTGCTCAAAGGGCTGATCTTTTCATCAGTCTTTTAATCAAGATCATAGCCAATGAACATGAATATTCATAGAATGAATCATAACTAGAGACAAGTCTTGGATTCATCAGTATGATCCAGCGCACAAGATCTCATCAAACATCAACTTTTAAAGGACTTCCCTGGGCCAGTTAAATTCAAGGAAGAGAGGTCAGCTTTGAAGGTTATGGTGACTATTTTGGGGGGTGAGGTGGGGTTACAAATAGGGCAACATTGGTAGATTTTCTTAAAGGTCAGAGAACAATTATGGGCTTATGAAAGGGTTAAGAAAATTGAAAAACTACATTGATGAGAAAAAAGACCTGGAAAGTTGCACTGAGGGACCTCTTTGCCATCACAACAAACCTATTGCTCATTTTTTAAGAGCAGCAAGGGATAGTCTATGTGAATTTTGTTGAGAAACCTTCTCCTACCTAACTCACATCCCTGAGTTTGCTCCCTCAAGACTATTTTGTACCCCAAACTTAAAGAACATTTAAAAGAAACACGATTTTGTGTACTTCAAGGTTGCCCCAAACTATAAAATTCTTTGGAGAAAGTTAAGAATCATGGAAACATTGCATTCAGAAGTTTCTAGTCTTAACTGAGGATATGTCAAGAAATAATCACTTCAGATTTTGATATTTTTATTTAATAAAGGCTTTTCATAATTTTGGAGCAATATTTTTTTCACTTTTTCTCATGTGTGCATATGCATATTATATACATACATACTAGGGGTTCCCCCCCCCCCCAGTGGAAAAAAACTCTGCTGACAGAGCTTTCATAGTACGCGTTTTTCACAATAGGCAAGCATCGAGCAACTCACTCTGAGTTAGTGCACTCAGTGGCGTCACCTGAGAAATTTCTCTCTGGTCACATTGACTTTTTTTCTTGAAAGCAGTTTCACTTGAACCTCGTTTTTTTGTGATGGCTGATTTATGAGAACCGCATGCAGCTGTGAAATTTTGTTTTCTGCTAGGGAAAAATGCCACAGAAACTGTTGTGATGTTTAACACAGCTTACAAGGACAGTGTTATGGGAAAACTCAAGTGTGCAAGTGGTTTTCTCATTTCAAAAAAGGTGAAATGTTGATGACAAACCTTGTTCTGGATGTCCGTCAACTTCCTGAACCCTGAATGGATGAAAATATTAACTCTTAGTGCATGTGGAGTTTGTTCCTCCAGGTCAGACTGTTACTCAAGATTTCCATTTAGAGGTTCTGAAAAGATAGCGCTACAGTGTGTGTAATAGTGTGTGACAAAAAAGGCCTGATTTGTGGCAGACGGAGGGCAGGTTTTGCCATCGCAACAATGCACCTGCTCATGCAGC